GTAGTAGTAATAGTAGTAGTAGTAATAGTAGTAATCGTAGTAGTAGTAGTAGTAGTAGTAGTAGTAGTAGTAGTAGTAGTAGTAGTAGTAGTAGTAGTAGTCGTGGTCGTAGTAGTAGTAACAGTAGTAGTAGTAGTAGTAGTAGTAGTAGTAGTAGTAGTAGTAGTAGTAGTAGTAGTAGTAGTAGTAGTAATAGTAGTAGTAGTCTCGCAGGGCGAAAGATTTTCCTCTTAAGGTGGAAACGGTCATGAGGAGTTCACGAGACAACGTCGGCGCCGCCGAACGGACGGCGTCCGGACGAGCTGTTTGCAGCAACCGGGGGAGGAGGGAATTGTGTTTTCATGTTGAATGGGGCCCGCTCGCGCGGGGAGTTGATGGGAGTGCGCAAGACGACGCAGGGCCCATCGTGGAAAGTTGATTACCGAACCCCCCTCCCCCATAGAATCTTAACACGGGCGGTTTGCGGGGTCCGTGGATCCGATTTCTTCCGGCACCCTGGTTTACTTTAGTAATACAAATTTGGAACAGGGTAGAAATCGGATCCGCCGTAAAAAATAAGACCGGACACGGACCCAGCGAATCCGAAATCAGATCCGTGCGGACGGAAATCGGATCCACCGAAACAAACACCAAAGCCACATTTGGATCCGCGCGAGCTTCATGAGATCCGACGGCGGTTATCTCATACGGGTCTGCTCAAAACTTCACACCGTCGTTCCGGGCGCCAAGAGAAAAAAAACTTTCGTCCTGGGGGTGAGCGTTTTGTCCTTCGGACTCGTTGGTTACCACATAGCCGACACACCACATCTCACACGCAATCCGTTGTTGGTTACCACACAGCCGACACCACATCTCACAGGCAGTCCGTTGGGTGAGGAGACGCAGGGCCGAAACGCACTAGCGTTTTGGCCTTCGGACTCGTTGGTTACCACATAGCCGACACACCACATCTCACACGCAATCCGTTTTTGGTTACCAAACAGCCGACACTACATCTCACAGGCAGTCCGTTGGGTGAGGACACGCAGGGCCGAAACGCACTGAGCGTTTTGGCCTTCGGACTCGTTGGTTACCACATAGCCGACACACCACATCTCAAACGCAATCCGTTGTTGGTTACCACACAACCGACACCGCATCTCACAGGCAGTCCGTTGGGTGAGGAAACGCAGGGCCGAAACGCACTAGCGTTTTGGCCTTCGGACTCGTTGGTTACCACATAGCCGACACACCACATCTCACACGCAATCCGTTGTTGGTTACCAAACAGCCGACACTACATCTCACAGGCAGTCCGTTGGGTGAGGAGACGCAGGGCCGAAACGCACTTACGCAGGACGAGAGATTTTCTTTTTGAGGTGAAAATGGCCATGAGGAGTTCCCGAGACAACGTCGGCGCCGCCGAACTGACGGCGACCGGACGAGCTGTTTGCAGCAACCAGGGGGGAGGGATGTATGTATTCATGTTGAATGGGGCCCGCTCGCGCGGGGAGTTGATGGGAGTGCGCGAGACGACGCAGGGCCCACCGTGGAAAGTTGATTACCGAACCCCCCTCCCCCATAGGATCTTAACACGGGCGGTTTGCGGGGTCCGTGGATCCGATTTCTTCCGGCACCCTGGTTTAATTTAGTAATACAAATTTGGAACAGGGTAGAAACCGGATCCGCCGTAAAAAATAAGACCGGACACGGATCCAACGAATCCGAAATCAGATCCGTGCGGACGGAAATCGGATCCACCGAAACAAACACCAAAGCCACATTTGGATCCGCGCGAGCTTCGTGAGATCCGACGGCGGTTATCTCATACGGGTCTGTTCAAGACTTCACACCGTCGTTCCGGGCCCAAGAAGAAAAAACTTTCGTCTTGGGGATGTAGTAATCGTAGTAGAAGTCTTTTTTATTATTATTCGTCGTCGTCGTCGTAGTAGTAGTAATAGTAGTAGTAGTAGTAGTAGTAGTAGTAGTAGTAGTAGTAGTAGTAGTAGTAGTAGTAGTAGTAGTAGTAGTAGTAGTAGTAGTAGTAGTAGTACTAGGACTAGTCGTAGTAGTAGTAGTAGTAGTAGTAGTAGTAGTAGTAGTAGTAGTAGTAGTAGTAGTAGTAGTAGTAGTAGTAGAAGTAGAGATAGGAGTAGTAATAGTAGTCGTCGTCGTCGTCGTCGTAGTAGTAGTAGTAGTAGTAGTAGTAGTAGTGGTAGTAGTAGTAGTAGTAGTAGTAGTAGTAGTAATAGTAGTAGTAGTAGTAGTAGTAGTAGTAGTAGTAGTAGTAGTAGTCGAAGTAGTAGTAGTAGTAGTAATATGTTGTAGTTAGTAATCGGGGTTGCAGGAATAGCTGTTGTAGCAGTTCGAGACGGAGGACCAGACTAAACTTCAGTCGCGCTAGCGATGTACCCTCTCTACAAGTGCTCTCTTCGTAGACACGTGCAAGAATTGTTGTGTCGCGGTACTTTCTCCATTGACATACAACATTCTGAGAATCTTCAATCAACGTGATTGTTGCGTCCCGATTGTCCTACGTCGTACCAGGGCACCACTCCTGGGACTTCAACCCTCCGAATCCTAGAACTTTCTACAAGCTACAGAGTGGAATGGGTGCGGCGCTAAGGCGAGAACCACGTTTTGAGCATGTGCTGCCCTTCATCCTTGAAGCTGCTGCTGACCTTTAAGGTTAATGCGCGCTAAAGAGAGAACTACATTTTGAAAACGACTCGCCCTCCATCGTTGAACCCGTCGCAGTTTTATGCCACGAATGTGCGCGGCGCCAAGGCGAGAGCCGCATTGTGAAGACCACCCGCACTCAATCCTTGAAGCTGCTGCATTTTTGCGACATTTGTGCGCGCTGTTAGGGCGAACGTTACATTTGAGAGAGCGTGATCCACCGCCGCTTTCCGCTTTACTGTTGTAAATTGCCAACCTTTTCCTCCGGAACCCGGGGGGTCGCCCCCCCACCCCCCTCCCGAAAATCCCCTCCCCCCTGCTGGAACCCCTCCCCCCCCCCCTCCCCGGCAACCCCCCCACCTCCCAACCCCTCCTCCCCACCCCCCCCCCCCCCCCCCCCCACCGTCCTCCTCGAAAACCGGGGGTGGGTCACTACCGGGTTCGACCCCTCCCCCCCCCCCTGGATCCGGAAAACCGGGGGGGTTCATACCGGTTCGAACCCCCCCCCCCTCCCCCCCCCCCTCCCTTGAAAACCGGAGGGGATCACTACCGGTTCGACCCCCCCCCCCCCCACGCACCGCCAGCAAACGACTCCCGGTCCCTACCACCGTCCGCATCACATCCCCCACTGTTGTTCCCAGCACCACTGTCCTCACCACCACTGTCCCCACTGGTTCCACCACCGTCCCTACTGTCCCCACCAGTGCCCCCACCACTGTCGCACTGTCCCCACTGTCCCCAGACTGTTCCCACCACGGTTCCACTCTCCCCACTGTCTCCACGGCCCCAACCACTGCCCGACTATCCCCACTGTCCCCACTGTCCCACTGACTCCTCCGCTGTCCCACTGAGCTGTCCCACTGTTCCCACCACTGTCCCCACTGTCCCCACCACTGTCCCCACTGTACCTCTGTCCCATTGTCCCACCGCCGTCCTCGCCACCGCCTTCACCACTGTCCCCACCACCATTGTACCCTCCACTGTCCCACTGTTTCCACCTCATTCCCATTGTCCCCACACCACTGTCCCCACCACCACCGTCACCACCACTGTCCACTGTCCCCCCCTGTTCCCACCATTGTCCCCACCACTGTCCCCACCACTACCGTCCCCACCACTGTCCCACTGTCCCACTGTCCCCACCACTGTCCCGCTATCCCCTCACCACTGTCCCCACCAACACCGTCCCCACCACTGTCCGCACCCCCACTCGGTTTTCGAGGGGGGGGGGGGGGGGGTTCGAACCGGTAGTGACCCCCCCGGTTTTCGAGGGGGGGGGGGGTTCGAACCGGTAGTGACCCCCCCCCCTTTTCATGATGACTGGGGGGGGGGGGGTTCGAACCGCCGGTAGTGACCCCCCCCGGTTTTCCGGAGGGGGGGGGGAGGGGTTCGAACCGGTAGTGACCCCCCCCCCGGTTTTCCGCCAGCAGCGGTAGAACACGCTCTTTCCCACATTTTGAAACCATGCGCCCTCGAGGGAGGTGTTGCAAGCGGAGTTAAGGCGAGACCAACATTTTGAAAACGACTTGCCCTCCATTACTGTTGCAAATGACAAGCTTTAGGATCAGAAATGGTGAGGGATTCTCTGGTGGACCCTCCGGCCCGCCCTACCGACACGTCTGGGGGTGTGACACGGACGAGTTATTAATAAGGAAAGGGATCAAGGAAGAGGAGGATAATAATTCTGCCTGCAGCCAGAAGGACGAGCATATCATCGAGGGCCTGTTCGAGACCCCGTCGAGGGCGTCGCCGAGCGCATCGTCGTGGTGGTGTCGTCGGATTCTTTCGGCTGGCGCCGCTCCCTTCCGCCGCGCCCCAGCGAAGCTCCTGCTGGGGTTTGGGGATCTGGAGATAATGCTCGCCCACTCGCCTCTTCCTGATCCGCCTTGTTGTGCTCGAGCTCCCGATTTGACAGTGTGCCGTGGTGAACACTCATGCAGGACATAACAACTGGCAGCCACGGGTCTGTACATGTTGCTGTTCTGTCATGGTAAAATCAACCAAACATATCAGTATCCCTCGTTGTCCTCGTCGTTGCTCTCGGCGTCCTCCTCGTCCTTCTCCTTTTTCTCGTCCTCCTCCTCCATGACGGTTGCGATGTCGCGCGGCTGACGGCTGCCCACCCGCCATCCAGCCTGTACAAGTTGGGCTGACAGCTCGCGCCTCAAATCTTCAGGGGTCATGCTGGCTCCTTTGCGCAGGAGGTTATCATGGTTTCATGCTGTGTGAGTTTATGGACGCTTATTTTTCATAAGAGTCTGTGGTTGTTTCCTGGAGGATGGTTGTCTTGTTGTTTTATGGCGCCCCCCTCTCCTACCTCGAATCTTGCCTTTGTGTCTGGCAGCGTTGCTTCGGCAGTCTGAACGTAAAGTGAGTTACAGGGCCGTCCAAACCCACCGGTTCCGTACGATAGCGGCTCACGAATGTTTGGAGTCGCTGGTGACACACGCGATTCCATTGTGGCCGGGACCTAGTCGAGCCAGTATTGTGCCCATCCAAGCGAGCACACATTGCTCACTATAGCGATCTTAGGTAGCGAAGGGTCCAAGGGTGGCTCTATGGACGTGAGTGGTCCCGTCGCACTTCTCGTCGCCATCCCCCCGGTGCCCCAGCCAAGGGTTGTTGTGAAGCTTGGTCCTGCCCTGGTGATGAGGAAGGTGCCCCCGGGGCCGGCGATCCCCCCAAAAATGCTGCTATCGTGTGTCTGGCTTCCAAGAACTGCCGCCTCCCTGCGCAGGCTGCCGAGGATCAGCCGACACACGATCGGGGCCCCGTGGAGGAGGAGGAGGAGGAGGAGGAGGAGGAGGAGGAGGAGGAGGAGGAGGAGGAGGAGGAGGAGAAGGAGGAGGACGAGGAGGACGAGGAGGAGGAGGAGGAGGACGAGGACGAGGAGGAGGAGGAGGAGGAGGAGGAGGAGGAGGAGGAGGAGGGGCTTCCACGAGCGCCGGCGGATCACGAATGGTACCTGCGCGGACGCCGGGCTGGCACCGATCACTCGCAAGGACGCCGCCGCCTCTCTCTCGCTCGTCAAGGCAGCGGCCGCGTTCCTCAGGGCCGTGCTCTGTGTGGTCTCAGGGTCTTTGGGGCGATGATGCGTTGGGCGCGAGGGGGACACGAGTTGCTCGCCCACCCCCTTTTCCTTCGCCCCTGCCCCCCCGCCCCCTCTTCCCATTCTCCCGCCCAGTCCACGCGCCCGTTCTCTCTCCCTCTCCCTCTCCATCCATCCTCTCCCCTCCTCCCTTTTTGTCCGTCTCCTTTCCTCCCTCCTTTTGTTTTTCTTCCCTTCCAATATTGTGTCCCTCCACCACCCCCTCGATCCTGCTTTCATCGTCTTCCTTTCTTCTATCCTCCTTCCACCCTTTCCTCCACCTTCTCTTCCTCCTCATTATCCTTTTCCTCTTCCTCCACCTCCTCCTCCTCCTCTCCTGCCCCGCTCCCTTCTCATCCCTCTCCCCGTTCCTCCTCTCCTGCCCCTTCAGTCCTATTCCCGCTCCTTCCTGCCCCTCCCTCCTCCCCCCTGCACCTTTCCCTCCACCCTGCACCCTTCAATGTCTCCTCAGCCGCCCCTTCTTCCTGCCAGGAGGTGCAGGGCAGGCTAGAGGGGCGGGGAAGAGGGACGGTTGGGGGAAGGGACGAGTAGAGTGGGCTGGCGTCCTATCCTGGATAGGAGGTACGGCCCGCACCATGGAGCAGGGAGCAGGGAGCAGGAGGAGAAGGGGGAGGAGGAGAAGGAGGAGGAGGAGGGGGAGAAGGAGGAGGAGGAGAAGGAGGAGGAGGAGAAGGAGGAGGAGGAGGAGGAGGAGGAGGGAGGAGTAGGAGTAGGAGGAGGAGGAGGGGAGGAGGAGAGGAGGAGGAGGAGGAGGAGGAAGAGAGGAAGAGGAAGAGGATGATGATGCTGATGCTGATGATGATGATGATGAGGAGGAGGAGGAGGAGGAGGAGGAGGAGGCGGAGGAGGTGGAGGACAGCCAGGCATCGCGACAACCGTGCTTTGCGACGAGCCGCGGGGACGCACCCGGATCGATCGGGCTCGAGGAACCCTCTTGTGTGGATGACGCCAGAGCTGGTCGGGCTTCAACGATGTCCAAACGTCCACTTAATATCAGCAGTACCTCCAACACCACATCAATCTCCTGTTGGCTTGGGTGCCTGCTGCACCTCGAGAGTGCATGGTGTTCTCCAACATGTCCTCTGTACGCTCCGACTGCGGCTTGCGTGCACCTTGCCCAATAACCCGACTTTGTAGACATGACGATCAGATGGCCAAGAGGAGGAGGAGGAGGAGGAGGAGGAGGAGGAGGAGGAGGAGGAGGAGGAGGAGGAGGAGGAGGAGGAGGTGGAGGAGGAGGAGGAGGGAGGAGAGGAGGAGGAGGAGGAGGACGAGGAGGGAGGAGGAGGAGGAGGAGGAGGAGGAGGAGGAGGAGGAGGAGGAGGAGGAGGGAGGAGGAGGAGGATGAGGAGCAGGCGGAGGAGGAGGAGGAGGAGGAGGAGGCGGAGGACATCCAGGCATCGCGACAACCAGGCGTCGCGACAAACCGCGGGGACGCACCGGATTGTGATTGGTGTTTTTGAGTGTTCCGTGCAGTCCGCCGAAAGACCCTTCTGTGACTCTCAGAGAAACGAAAGTCCCCCCTCTAGCGTGCCGAGCGACACGTAGCCAATGGGTTTCAAAGGTAGCTCCTGTTGCACACCATGTGTTGGAGCTTCTCTTGGATCGCACGTGTTCTTGTCTTGTCTTGTCACTAACATTCTCCGTTGAGTTCGCCCACGCCTCTGACATCCGTGCGGATAGCTGCAAGCCCCTCTCATTTCAATTCCGTGTCGTGGCGGACTTTGTTGGCTTCTGTTGTGTTTCTCCATCTTGTCACCTTTTTGTATCTAACACATGTTTGGGGCCACGCTCGAACCCGTTATACTAGCGTTGTGTTTCTTTTTTCTTTCTTATCCTTCTTGTTCTTATCGGTCTCCTTCCTCTTTCTTCGTTTTTCCGAGTATGGGTCTGAATGTCGGCCACTTTCGTAGAACACGGAGTGTCTGTAGGTTTCCGCTGCTTTCCGCCTGCACGGTGATGTCATAGTGGCCTCACCGAGGTCGCCGTCTGCGTGAGAAAGCCAAGTGCGGTTCGGCAGTGGCCCAACGGTTGACCAAGATTTAGGAGAGAAAGCACATAGAACGACAACACACTTGGTGCTATTGTCCAGGGTCGAAGAAGGACATATGGGGATTCATCACGCCATCTGTTAGTGTAGTGCAGATTCCCAGGCGCCCGCGGCAAGACTCACCACCATGCCAGCGCAGCGTTCTGTCTGGCGACCTATCGTGAAGCGCACAGCTGACTTTACCATTGGCAGTTCTCGTCCATGGGCTTCGCAGTGCAGTAACACTGGACACGGTCTTCTGCAGACTCGAGAAGGACGCAAGAGTAGTCCTCGGCGACCAGTTAACCGTCATTTGTTACGCATCTCTTCCCCCTATGCAAGTGGGCCGTAACATGCATCATACCATGTAAGATCAGGAGGAGAAGGACGAGTCGGAGGAGACATGGGTGGCCTTCGTCTCAGCCCTATTAATAGCGCTTTCTGACTATGCTGGCAGGGAGGGGGAGTTCACAATCCCCCGCCTCCCCCTCCCCAAAAACGAGGGGGGGAGGTGGAGTCCAGAACCCCCCCCCGGAAAATTATTGGAGAGATTCAGAACACCCCCGCCGCGCCGCTGGCAGACGACGACGACGACGCCGACGCCGACGCCGCCGACAACGCCGCCGACGACGACGACGTCGCCGCCGGCAAACGACGACGCCGACGGACGACGACGACGGCGGCGACAACGCCAACGATGACGGGCGACGGGCGACGACGATGATGACGACGATGACGCCGAGGACGTCGTCGACGATGACGGGCGACGGACGACGGACCACGGATGACGGACGACGACGACGGCCGAAGACGACGATGATGTTGATGCTGATGATGCTGATGACGACGACGATGACGATGGAGACGACGACGAAGACGACGACGACCATGATGCTGTTGATGATAATGATGATGATGCTGATGCTTCTGCTGATGATGCTGATGCTGATGGTGATGACGAGGATTATGGTGACGAGGATTATGATGACGACAACGATGCTGGTGATGATGGTGATATGGGTAATGCTGATACTGGTACGGACGATTATGCTGATCGTGATGCTGACGATCAACGGCGACGACGACGATAACGATTACGATGACGATGATGACGATGATGAAGATGACAATGATGCTGATTCTGATAATGATGATCATGATCATGATTCCGATAATGATGATGATGATGATGATGATGATGATGATGATGATGATGATGATGATGATGAGGCTGATGATGATGCTGCTGATGATGATGCGGATGATGATGACGACGATGATGCTGCTGATGACGATGATGATGACGATGGTGATGATGCTGATGATGACGACGATGCCGACGACGATGATGATGCTGCTGCTGCTGATGATGATGATTGTGATGACTGCTGCTGGTGATGATGATGATGCTGATGTTGATGATGGTGATGGTCATGATGGTGGTGATGATGATACTGATAATTCTGATGATGATGATGATGATGATGATGATGATGCTGAATATGATGATGTTGTTGTCGTTGATGATGCTGCTGTTGATGATGATTGTGATGATTATGATGATGATGATGATGATGATGATGATGATGATGATGATGATGATGATGATGATGATGATGATGATGCCGACGACGAT